TTGACCACTGAATTAATGATCTGAGATACCCAACTGTTCATATGGAAAAATTATATTTCCCTAAATCACAAATATGAAAAATGACCCAAGGAGAGTTGAAAACTTAAATGGGAAAAGTAAAATTTTATGACTTTGAAAGGAACTATACAAGATGATCCTTAAAATGTTAGCATGGAAAAGAAATCCTTAAGACTAAATGCTTTTCATAAGAAAAAGCACAATCCATAAAAGAAGGCTTAGTAAATTTGACTGCTATGGCTTGTATTTAGATGTCCCCCCAAAACAAAGCCTCATGTGCTCATAGGTGAAGTTTTTCAGAGGTGGCTGGACCTAGCATATGTGAAGATGGATTAAGGGTTAATAACTACATTAGTCTGCTGATTGGGTTTAGCATAGTCCTGAGTGTGGATGATGGGAAAGCCCACCCTGGGTGTGTGTGGCACCAACCAATAGGCTTGTGGCCTGGATGGGATACAAGTCTAGGAGGCTCACTGCTTGCTGCTTTCTGCCTGCTCTGCCATAGACTGTTTCTCCTCTGTGGTGCCCTTGTGCCATGCTGCCCTGCCCTGGAGCCAGCCAACCACAGACTGAAACCTCTACAAGCCATAAGCTAAAATAAGCCATTCCTCTTTCACCTTTGGGTGTGAGGTACTTTATCTCAGCAAAGAGAAATGTAACTAGAACATTGATCAAATTAAAAATGAAAACTCCTGTTCAATAAAATGCAAAAATACAAGCCGTGGACTAGGAGAAGGGATTTGCAGTGTGTATTACTCAAATGAAGGCTCTAAAATTTCTAAATAAACTACAAATCAATAAGAAAAAGAACAAAAGATATGAACAGGCCATTCACAGAAAGGACACCCAAAAGGCATGCGTGTGTGTGTATATATATGAAAAGATGATCAGATTTACTAGAATCAGACAAACACATCATAAAACAAAGATTCTAGCTCATACCCATCATATCAACAAAAATTTAAATGTCCAATAATTCAAAGCATTAATAAAACTGTGGAGAACCAGGTATTGAGTTACTGAGTTAAATTGTGGCTCAGGATATAAATTAGTACCACCGCCTCCCTCATAAAAAACACTCTTCAGTATAGGACAAATGGGGACACATGTTTTTCACCCAATCATTCTTTTTTTTAAATGTATGTAATGTGATCAAAATATTCTGTGAATATTAAAATTTTTATTTCACTAAAAAATACATTGCCATTGATCCCCCCTAAAATATTCCCAGTCGTACCAAGACAGTCATTAAAACAGCATATTTATCTTCACACACGCATCATTCTTGACACTTTCCAAAACAATTCTGGAAGTCCTCCTTCTTGTCTCTACAAGACTTAAAAATACAGTGAATGCTAATCCCGAATGCCATCCAACAGAAAGGCAGGCTCCTAAAAACAGGATGGACACCTGTGCCTAGCACTGTGTGACTTCTGGTTCCTCCCCCACCGTGGAAGTGATCATGAAAGGGACCCGTGTTGAATCCATTCAGGACCTTGAGGCAGCACCCAGGACAGCGCAACTGAAGCCATGTATGAAAGAGCACTTGCACAGCTGCTGCAGGAAGGGACAAGAAAAATGGGATGAGTGACTTCAAAGCAGGGGGTGGGATTTGGAGGGAGATTAATAGCAATGTGTCTTTTCCTGCAATCATTTTTTAAACATTCACCATATTTTTCTATCACCCCTTGTATACTTACGTAAAGGAAGATCACACATGTGCAAAAGAGAAAGGTACAAGAATGTCCATTACAGCATTTTTATATCAAAACTGAAAAACCACCTAAGCACAGTGTAATCTCACAACACAGTATCATATAGCAATGAAAATGAAGGAACCTACATCTCATTTTGGATAAATTTCAAAGCCACAAAAATTGAAAAGTGCAGCAGTGTAATGCGATGGTATGAAACCATTTGAGAAAGCTTGGAAAACAAAAAATAACAGCATGATTAATCATAGATTCGTATGTGGTGATGCGGAAACATGAACAGGAAATCAGGATGGTGAGAGGGTGACAGGAGGGGACAAGGACTAGGGAGGGGATCGAGAGGGCCCTGAAAATCCTGTGGTATTGACTCAGCTCTGAAATCAGAATCAAAGGTGGCAAAATGTTAGGAACCTTCGGCACTTATCTGCTATTCCCTGATTGTCCCGTAGGTTGCAACGTTCTGTAATCTGAAAATACAATTTTAAATGCTTCCAAGCTACACCCTGAATTTGGGGGCGTTATGAAACCGGATCATACCTCGAAAGCAACGTATAATAAAATTACAGGGAAAAAAGAGACTAAATCCACTAATCGTCATTTCCCACAGTGCCCCTACACTCCCGCTGCTCCATACTCTCTCTGGGGACGGAAAAGCAGATTAATCGTGAAATCCAGTACACAACTGCAGCTCTGGGAAGAAAAGAAACCAACAAAATTCACAAAAGAAGAGAAGCAAGCAGGGACAACTCGCTTGAATTATAACTGAAGGTCCAGCTGAACAGGCTCTTGTTAGACACGCTTGGTACCGAAAGAAACAACAGTCGATGCACATCGTTACCACAGAAAAGTGAAGGAAGAGGAAGGAGAAGAAATTGTGCAGAAGACAGAAAGAAGCTAGTCTGGAAGACAGCAGACTCTCAAAAGCGCATCAAAGGCATTCATAATAAATGACCCGTGCCACAAGAAATGAAGACAAAATCAGCAAAGCAAGAAGGGACATGTGGAGCCGCACTGAGCTAGAATGAGGTTTGAAAGGGAACTTGCTGAGTTCAGAAAACACGAGGGAACCCAACACCTCTGAGTGATAAATAAATAAATGGGAAGCAACAAGGGCAGAATGGGCCCAGTGGTAAACTAAGTAGTAACACTGGAGAATGGCTCGGGATAATTATAGAGACCAGAGGTGACAGGAAAACACTCCAAACTGAGACAACGAACATGCCGGCAGCTTTTTCCAAGGACGCTGCTGTGGCTGACAATATTTCTGGCATACCTGCTACCATGTTTGCAGGGTTGTTTTTGTTTTTTCTGTTTTGTCTCTGAACTGAGACTCTTCGCAAACCATCAGTTCTAGGAGCAGGAAGGAAATTTCATTTAGTGGCCAATGAATGGCAGACAGGAGCTTGAGGTTCTAAGGTACTTTCTCGCCAGCAGGTCTGGGGTCTGGGCAGTCACTAGGGTGGGGTGACAAGGGGTGGTCTGCCTGCTGTCCTCAGACCTTTTCGGGGGAACGGGGGGACTCCAGCGCGGCCACTCTGAGATGCTCCCAGGGCCTAACCCTAGGGCCTCGCCTTCGGCTCCTCCCTGAACCTCAGCTCGGGCTCACGCTTTCATTTACCTTAAGGAGAAAACTAAATATGATGCATTGACAGAAAATAATTCACGGAGATGGAAAGCATCTAGTCCTTGAAGAAAGATGTTACGTGCCTCTTTCTCTTTGCAAGGGAGCTGGCACATTTCATGCGCCTGTTTTAAAGAGGAAATACTTTTTTCCAGAGCAGGGGATCGAATCCAGGGCCTCGTGCACGTCAGGCAAACGCTGAACCGCTGGGCTACATCCCCAGCACGAGAGTACATAATTTATTGAAATACTTGATTACATAGAGCAGCGATGGCGAACCTTTTAGAGCTTTCAATGTTACAAATAGCCCGCTGTGGCACAAGTGCAGTAGTTTCGCCGCCACTGCATTATAAGGATGGGCCCAACCAGCACGGGTTTATCATCAGCGAAACACCCCAAACACGCGGGCGATGACGCCACCAGGGCCCCTGGGCCCTTAAATTCTCCTCCTCCATCTCTCCTTCCCAGGACAAAAACGGGAGGTACCGTTAATATTTTAAAACGTTGCTGCATACATTTAAAGATGTTCTTTAAAGCTTGGCACGATCTTCTAAAGGAACGGGTAAAAAAAAAAAATAGTTTCACTCAGTTTTCTATTATTTGGAGGCCACATTTGTGCATGAAAAGTTAGAAATTTAAGCCAAAAAGTGAAACAGAAACAAGATGGAGGGAGGAATCACTGGAATACAGATACTTGATGCACATTATACCAGAACGGGTGTATACAGATATTGTAAAAATAATAATGATGATGACATTATAGTAATAATAAGCAGATGACTAAATTAAGGCACCTTGCTTTTTTAGAAATCGATGACCTAGGAGCCTCCTTTCTAAAGGTCCCTCCCGCACAGGCGACACCCCCGGGGTCCCCGGAGGGAGAAGGTGGATTTCGCCCCTCGCAGCCCAGCCGCGCCACCCTCCCACACCGCACCCCACCCCGGCACTCAGCAAGAGCAGCCCGCCGCAGGGCGCTCCCGGCGCACTTTCTCTTTCAGATCTGGTTATTCTTTCGAACTGAGGGACGCCTCCGCCCGATGTCTCCCCTAGCCTGTGGCTCGCAGGGCTGCCAACCCGGGCTCCCGCTTCCTCCCGCGGGCGTGAGGAGCAGCGAGACTTTGCCCACGGATACATTGTTGCGCCAAGTTCGATGGCACGCGGACCGTGACCATCTTCTGCTGAAGCGAGGGAAGGACGCAGGGCAGCGAGCCCGCAGTGCGGGGTCCCCTGGGCGCGCCGCCGT